AAATGTAAGATTTTAGACCTTTTTAAGACCAAGTAAAGAAAATCTAAGGAATAAACTGAAGGGAACATAATATGTCAATATATCAGTATGTTCTCTTAATAAAAAACGTATTGCCATCATGACTTTTTGCTTCAATTAAAGACCTTTTTAAGGCATTATTTTGAGGAAGAGTGAATTAAGACTTTGTAAGACCTTTTTTTTTATATTAAGTGAAACAGTAGCTTATGGCCATACAACATCTCATCTGATCTTGGATAAGGTTCAATTTTCTGTTTTTCGCATGCATTTTGAGAGGATAGGATGACGAATAGAAAAAAAAAAGCACATGTGTGCACATGAGTTTTGGCTATAATTAATTCATCAATGCATTGCATTGTGGGATACAGCATTCCCTGCTCTGGTGCATACATCTAATTTTGGCAATGATCATCCAGGTATTTTGTGTACAAAAATGTGCTTACTGTATACATCATATACACTGCAGCAATGGTAAATGCTACACAACCAAAATGAGCACATATCTGCATAATTCATTGAGTTCTAAGCATGTTGTGCGGTGCTGCTTTTGTCTTTCATAGACACACCCGCACCGAATCACAGAATAAACTTTCCATTCATTAACAAGCGCTAAACAGATGTGTCTGTCTCTCTTTACGCTCCGAGCACTTTTCCATGAGCAGTGCATTATTTGTGCATGTGTATACTGAGAGATGTGTGATGGGTGAGAGATGTCCGAGCCGTACAGGTGAGAGGTCAGCAGGGTCCTGGTCTTCTGCTTCTTCATGATTGTCCTCGATCTCCTCCATCACCTCGGCTTTGGCCTCGGCCACCAGCTCTCTCAGCGGACGGTTGGTCTTCACCGAACTGACGAAAGGATGCTGAAGCACAGAACACACATGGAAAGATTATTCATTGCGCATAACATTAGGATGTCACCTTAAGCAGCACACACAACAAATAACATAAACTGGGAGATTAAATAATTTGCTTTGATTATGTGTCTTTCTACTCATCATTGAAAAGCGTATCAGATTGTCATGGTTGCCGTCAAACTGAATCAAACCAGATTTCAAATTTAATGTTGCTTTGCAATGTTTAGAAAAGAAATACAATCAAATTAAATTGTTGGAGCAAGCGTTCATATCTGAAAGGTCATCATTCAGTTTGGTTCAAAAATATTTGGACTTGATATTTTAAGAATAATTATAAAAATGATCGCACCCCTTTGACCTTAGATATTTACAATTAATCTTTCAATAATTTAACAACCAATTTACATCTTCATGGTTCTTTGATGGGGGTTAACGGTCAGACAAATAAAAACAAATAAACAAATTAAATATTTAATATTTTTAGAAATGCTGTCAAACGATTAATCGCATCCAAAATAAAAGTTTTTGTTTGCATAATATATGTATGTGTACCGTTTATTTTGTATATATAAATACACACACATACAGTAAATATTTACATATATACATTTACATTCTTATATTTTATATTATATATAAATATACTGAACATATAAACATAACATTTTTCTTAAATATATACATGCATGTGTTTGTATTTATATATGCATAATAAATATACACAGTACACACATTTTATGTAAACAAAATCTTTTATTTTGGATGCGATTAATCGTGATTAATCGGTTGACGGCACTAATTTTTAGTTAATTTGTATTTAGTTTATTTTTATTTCAAAACGAATATTCATTGTTATTTATTTTTTATGATTTAATTAATTATTAGTTTTACATCAACTCACAATCCCCAATTTGGGAAACTCTGCTGTAGTGGAAAAAAAGGTCATATTCATTGATGTCATGTGGTTTGGGCAGAAATGCCCATCCTTGACCTCTCAGATTGCTGTAACGAGGTGTTGCAAAAAGGTGGAAAACTTCCAGTAAATTTTGGAAACTTTCCAGAAATTTACCAGAAATGTTCCACCCCTTTGCAACCCTAGTTTTAACAACATGTTATTTAACTTATAAATACACTTGCAATCAGCAGAATTGGCAGTTCATTACAAAAAAAAAAAAGTTGTTGTTCTTGAGAGAGTCTGGGGTTTAATTAGGAGAAGAGCAGGCACTCAGGTACTGAACTGTGAAAGCAGCAGTGTAATGGAGAGAAACGCTGCTCTCATCTATTATTCAGCTGAGTTGCACCTTGTTTAATTGAAGCGTCCCAGCTGCCAAGCGTATGTGAGGGCGAGTCAAGCGTTAAAAACATGCAGCTAGCAATATATCAATTACTGCAACTACAGCCAATGCATCCCAATTCACATAGCATGCGTCCTAAATTGCTTCCCAATTCATAGTTTGCAGAAAATAGCCTGGCCATGTTGCCTGGATGATTGTCTAACTCTGACACTGTATAAAAGCTGCCTTTGTGGAACATGCATATGATGCCCTTAAATGCATGTTAAAGTCTCGTGACCTCCACCTTGGTTTCAGTGATCAGCTTCAAACTACAGATCGGCCTATAAAGACTTTGACTTTGCAGTAAATGTTTGGCACTCAGGATCTAACAATGATATATGAACTTAGCACACAACTCTTCACAGAAAAGCATGCACCGCATATCAATGTCACCTTCAGCCCAACAAACACCTGTCTTCCAGGCTGCTTTGTACGCAGCAGAGCATTAAATGAATATGTAATATGAAACACCCAGAAGAGAGAGTGCTATCAGAACATGAGCTGAAATGGCTGCTCTGCAGATGTCCAGAATTAACTTCTAGCACATGTGCCAGTAGCAGCCAAACATTATTTATAGTTTATGTAGGAATTACAAATAATAATAAACAAACAAACAAATGGGTCAAAGTGGAGACGCCCCATTTTGGTATCGGCATCAAAGTAAATTCACAAAAGTGATTTTATATACACATATTAAATGCAATTTAAGTGTGTACTTTAATGTTTCAAATAACTTTTGTGAAAATAAAATGTCAAAATACAGGTGAAATAATGTTCCATCGTTATTCAGCGGAACAGATATATTTATGCAAAAATAAAACAACATACTTATTTTGACCTCTCTCTCTCTCTCTATATATATATATATATATAAAAGAAAAAGGGATAATACTAAATTTCAAAGATTTCGCTGACAAACGGGTAAAATCTATTGGTTTGAAGGACAGACGCAAAGATTTAAAACAACAATCGATTAGTTTTTATCAGGGCTTTGCTGTGATTCCAAAATAAGCCTTTTAATGATGTCTTAGTGTTACATTGAATAACATTTTAGGGGGTGTCTTCTAAGAAAAAATTTAAACTAGACACATTTTAACGTACAAAAAAAAAAAATATTAAAGCTGCCTTAAACGTTTTATGATGCATGAAACCCCCTCTTAATCTCTGAACCATAGTGTAACATTTAATAATATGAGACCAGGGACCACAAACCCAGTCTTAAGTGTAAATTTTTCAATAAATGAGCTTTCCATTGATGTGTGGTTTGTTAGGATAGGACAATATTTGGTCGAGATACAACTATTTGGTGCAAAAAAATCTAAATATTGAAAAAATTGTCTTTAAAGTTGTCCAAATGAAGTTCTTAGCAATGCATATTACTAATCAAACATTAAGTTTTGATATATTTACGGTAGGACATTTACAAAATATCTTCAAGGAACATGATCTTTACTTAATATCCTAATGATTTTTGGCATAAAAGAGAAATGTATAATTTTGACCCATACAATGTATTGCTGGCTATTGCTACAAATATCCCCCAGCGACTTAACACTGCTTTTGTGCTGCAGGCTCACATATACTTATATATAATACAGGAAAAAAACGACTAATAAATGCAAAAACTACAAAAGGAAATTATCCACTGAAGGAAAAGCTGTTTTGTGGATTGTGACGTCATCTGGTCATCATTCTAACAGTTTGAAGTAAACTATCGTGTTGCTATTTCTAATAAAATTTCCGGCAAGATTTGAAGCCGGTTCAGGACTATTCTGGGCCGTTCTCGAACACAGCACATCTACTGTACATTATCTTTTTCATTTTGTAAACTCCTCAAGTGCTCAGTTCAGCAGAAAGGGGTGGAGGTGGAGAAATATCCTAAAGGAAGAATGCAAATTGCTGTAATTCCCTTCATGCAGCAGCACAGGAAGCCTTTGGGGGGTTGCCGTGGCCCTTTCCTTCACATGCATTCATTTGCACATACTACTGTCTCAAAATGCCTTTGTGTTAAATTACACGAGAGCAGCGGTGATGTACAGTATATGGACACTAGGTTAACCCAATTTATTGAGACAAACAACAAATATGTTTGTTTTAACAGTCAAACACACGATAAAAATTAAACAAATATCAAATTTCTACTGTTTTATATGCAGATTAAATAGGTCTTAAGGAAACTTTTGTCTTGTCTCCCGAGGCCACAGGAGGGCGCAATGAGCAAAATATCACAATAGCGCATTTAAATTGTCAACGCAAGGAAATAACTGTCTATAAAAACCTGCATTACGTCTACATTAACTCATAAAAATCAAATATAATTTCGTAAATTGCATAAACAATTATGAACAAAACAGCATCATGTATTTATGCATTGCTTAATCCAAAGAGCCGAAGCGCCGATCACACAGACTGCATTTAAAACATACGAGACGCAGTGAAAAGGAATAAACCTCCACAAATTCGCGACGTGTTTTCTAAAAGTTTAAACTGTTTTATCTTTGCTTGGCTACATCTCTTGTGTGAGACGCGAGTGCAGCAGTCGTACTTGTCCGTCTAAAAATGCGTTCTGTGTGAATGGCTTGGTTTCGGTTTTAACCTTTGATATATTTACGGTAGGACATTTACAAAATATCTTCAAGGAACATGATCTTTACTTAATATCCTAATGATTTTTGGCATAAAAGAGAAATGTATAATTTTGACCCATACAATGTATTGCTGGCTATTGCTACAAATATCCCCCAGCGACTTAACACTGCTTTTGTGCTGCAGGCTCACATATACTTATATATAATACAGGAAAAAAACGACTAATAAATGCAAAAACTACAAAAGGAAATTATCCACTGAAGGAAAAGCTGTTTTGTGGATTGTGACGTCATCTGGTCATCATTCTAACAGTTTGAAGTAAACTATCGTGTTGCTATTTCTAATAAAATTTCCGGCAAGATTTGAAGCCGGTTCAGGACTATTCTGGGCCGTTCTCGAACACAGCACATCTACTGTACATGATCTTTTTCATTTTGTAAACTCCTCAAGTGCTCAGTTCAGCAGAAAGGGGTGGAGGTGGAGAAATATCCTAAAGGAAGAATGCAAATTGCTGTAATTCCCTTCATGCTGCAGCACAGGAAGCCTTTGGGGGGTTGCCGTGGCCCTTTCCTTCACATGCATTCATTTGCACATACTACTGTCTCAAAATGCCTTTGTGTTAAATTACACGAGAGCAGCGGTGATGTACAGTATATGGACACTAGGTTAACCCAATTTATTGAGACAAACAACAAATATGTTTGTTTTAACAGTCAAACACACGATAAAAATTAAACAAATATCAAATTTCTACTGTTTTATATGCAGATTAAATAGGTCTTAAGGAAACTTTTGTCTTGTCTCCCGAGGCCACAGGAGGGCGCAATGAGCAAAATATCACAATAGCGCATTTAAATTGTCAACGCAAGGAAATAACTGTCTATAAAAACCTGCATTACGTCTACATTAACTCATAAAAATCAAATATAATTTCGTAAATTGCATAAACAATTATGAACAAAACAGCATCATGTATTTATGCATTGCTTAATCCAAAGAGCCGAAGCGCCGATCACACAGACTGCATTTAATCATGTAATGTCACATTTTCATGTTCATTTATGTTTGTTCATGTAATTCAGAGATTCCCAAGTTTTTTTTGTGAGTTTACTTGAAGCCCCCCAAAGATTTCAATCATTTAACGAGTTATGTCCAAGGTAATCTAAAAGTAATAATCAGACTGCATTACCTAATATGTGTAATCCAGATTATGTTACTAATTACAAATTTTGTCATGTAATCTGTAATCAGTAATGGACTACAATTTGTAAGTCATCTACCAAGCACTGTTAGCCAGTGACTGAAAGAATCCACTACAAGCCATTAATAGAATTGATAACGTTTGTTTACGAGTCAGATAAAGCGATAAACTAGTTCCAAAATTTAAAAGGAAGTACAAAGGTAAGAAAGATATTTCATATCAGGGCATTGAAACTGAACTCTAGTTAATGATTGCTTTAGTCCTGTGGGACACAACAAATCTGTCCCTTTCTCTTAGTTTTATCAGAATCTCATGAAATGTGTAATTATTAATTATAATTCTGTTTTGTATAATTATATTACGCACTGAAACTATTTTGGAGGGCCAAAATTATTGACCAGAAACAGTGACAATTAATTAGAGCTCTGTTGAAGCGGCACATGAACCGATAATCTCTTCCTCTTTACTACTAGCTATAGCACAAAATAAACATGAGTGAACATCTGAAGGTGTTGAAAAAAACTTCCTGAAATGAATCATGTCTCGTGTAATCAGTCAATCTTTCAACCACAGAAAGAAGTCAATAAAAGAGCTTAGAAACAATGTCACATAACTTCATATTTACCTCTAGAAAGCCATCCACTGTCCATAACTTGTTAGCATTCTATCGTTTTGCTAAATGTATGCACTATACTATTATATTCATTCAATTTCAATTAAACTTTTGTCTTCATTATTAAATGTATGTTTGAATAAATCTGTCGTGAAAACAAGCTTTTATTACATCCACCGTCTAAATGTTTATATTTAAACTACAAATTGGAGTAGTTATCTAAATAAAATCTCCTCTTAATTAATTTATTATTAAATAAACCTAAAATATGTTTGTTTTCTATTATCAGTGAAATTAAAACTTTAATTTTGGTTTTGGTGCATCGGTGTAAAATTCATTTTGATGCATCCCTATTATTTTGCTTAAAAGTCTATTTCTTATATATGTCATTATTTAGTAATTATTATGTAATAAACCTGCAATGATTATTAATAATTATAATTACTTTTATTTAGTGACTTGCCTAACGAGCCTGTCTGCAGTCATGTGACATGCTGTAAACATGAACAGACTGCTGTAAATATTATATTATATATTAAATATATTATAATATAGATCAACCTTAAGCAGTTTCAACTGCACTTGCCCAATATCTTTTTGCCTGATATGATTATGACAGCAGATCATTGATTTATAGCACTTACCAATATGGCGTCCCGATAAAAGTGTCTCGTCGTTGAGGAGTTTTGGTGTTTTTTGCAGAAACTCCAAAATCCGCTGTAAAAAAAAAGCAGAAATGCTGGATCACATGAATATTTCATCCCAGTTTCAAAAATGCCACATTATAATCTGTAAAACCTCTAATATATATTTGATACTATTTTACATGTCAAGTTTGGGGTTTGTAAGATTCTTAAATGTTTTTAAATGAAAGAAGCCTCTTCTGCTCATCAAGACTGCATTTATTTGATTGAAAATACAGTGAAAACAGTACAATTCTGAAATAGTATTACAATTTAAATGAACTCTTTTCTGTGAATCTCTGTTAAAATGTAATGTATTTCTGTGATGCGCAGCTGTATTTTCAGCATCATTCCTCCAGTCTTCAGTGTCACATGATCTTCAGAAATCAGTATAATATGCTGATCAGTGTTGGAAACAGTATGTTTCTCTCACAAGAAGCGCTAAAAGCCTGATACCATTAACCAGCACACAATGAAGCCACATTCGGTTACACGTGAAGCAGCATTCAAAGGGAATAATTTGCTCATTCAATCACTAAATCCAGTGAGACATGAGCAGAGAAGTGTAATGAAATATTATAAGTCAGCTCTTGGCAAACTGTGGTACTTTACAACACAACCGTCATACAATACAATGCAAGGTTTCAAAGAATTATGTACTGTCTGTGTGTGTGTGTGTGTGTGTGT